AGCGGCTTCGGAACAGGCATATCCCTGTGATCCACAATGTCGTCGATGTCGACTTGTCCATCCATGGTTGGGGGCAGCATCGATCTCCTGGAAGGGAATTGATCAATCTCAGCGAAAGGTGCAAGATTTGAGGCATGAAAGACTGGGTGAGTGCGTAGATGACCAGGGACACGAATGACGTACGTAGGACATCCATTTCATCTCCCACTACATCCAAGACTTCCCACAGACCAAAGTATTGAGGCATTAGTTTGCGAGATATTCTGAATTCCTGTCCTAACTCACTAGCCTTGACCCAGACACGTTCCCCTACCTGAAATGTGGACTGCCTGCGATGTTGATTCTCAGAAGCAATCATGGCTTGCTGAGCCTTCTTCATATGTTCAACAGCCTCTTGCAGCAACTTCTCATATTGCACACTGTATTCAAGTGTGCCTGGAGTTGCAGCAGGTCGGTTTTCAGGTAGGAGGAAGCCTAATGCTGATCTAGGCTTCCATCCTAAGTGCAGCTGGTTAGGACTAACGTCGGTACTGCTATGTATAGCATTGTTGTACAGGCTGGCAATGAGAGGTAACTGCTCATCCCAGTCATCCTGGCTGGGCTTGATGTAATGCCTCTGCAAGTGCTGTACAACTCTATTCATCTGTTCGGCTTGTCCGTTGGCTTCGGGATGATTCCCTGAAGTCATTTGAAGTTGACTGCCCATCTGTTCCGCAGTCTTTTTCCACAGCTCAGTTGTAAATCGGACGTCTCGGTCACTAATGATGGTCTTTGGTAAACCAAAGTCCCTTACCCAGTTGTCCTTGAACAACTTGATGACATATTTTGTCGTGGCTGTCTCTGGCATTGGTATTAGTCTAGCGTACTTGGTGAATCGGTCAATTATGACGAAGATGTGCCTCTTACCACTCTTGCTGGTCACAAGAATGTCCATGAAATCCATGGAAACACTCAATCCTGAACCATCAGGAATAGGTAAAGGCTTCAATAACCCAAGCGGTGCTTGAGTTCGCGGCTTGTCCCGCTGACAGACCTGACAGATCTCAACATACTTCTTCGCGTCATCTAACATTCTGGGCCACCAAAATCGTTGTACTAAGTTAGCACTCGTCTTCTTGTAGCCAAAGTGCCCAGTTGCGTCATGACATTCTCCTAAAAATAAAGTTTTATAAACTACGCAACTATTCACTAGATGGAACTACCAATCTCTTTACTCCGGCCTTATCAAGATAGATTAGCCCATCCACCATCACAAACTCACTTTCTGTGGCCTTGTCTTTTGCCTGAAGTTTGCGGATGATGTCCATCGTGACAGGGTCTTCCTGATAGGCTCCCACCAATGATTGAGTTACTTCATTAGATACGCCAAATTCAGAAACTAGCGCACCTAGGTAGTTTGCTCTACGGGATAGCGCGTTTGCAACCTTGTTGTACTCTCCCTTCAGGTACTCAAGCTTGAAGTCATATTGGTCTATGCCCTCAATCCATCGCTTGAGTGCATCAGAAAGAGCCGGTTGAGTCTTGATCCATTTGAGGGTCCGATGATCAGTCCTCAGATAGAAGAACCTTCCCAAAAGGAAGTGTCTCCAATGGACAAGTGCCTTGTAGAGAGCATAAAGTTCCCTTTCGTAGGTG